TCAACTTTGATGAGTTTTTTGAAGAAATATTTACTACTTATTTACCCATAAGTAAACGTTTTAAGCTTAGCCAAACATTGCCGTCTGCGTTTTTGCCATAAGATACGCATTCATACACAACTAGAGGAGATTGTGGCCTATCCAGATGAGGTTATTTGTTTCTTTGATGATTCTAATATCATTCTCAAGGCTGTTTTACTTGTAAGATAAGCTGCTTGTCACTGCACTTATTCCTGAAGGAAAACATCATGTCATTTTTCAGTAATGCTGTTGTCCATTAATGATGTTTTTGGATTCTCATGCAATTTGTGGCTAAAGTTCCATAACAATAATGTACCAAACCTTGTTAAAGACGTGTCTTCGTACTCTGATTTTATCATATAAAAAACATGGCTTCTTATTTATGGAAGTTTATTCTCCTTTTCTTTTGCTCGCATTTAACTTTGGAACAAATTCTAATGTTATTTCACTACATTATCAGTATCTGTAAAAGGCTGGTTTTCCAGTGTCATGCCTGTTTTCATGCAGACAAAATATTTTGGATTGTTTGGGAGCGGATACTCGATAGTAATAAAGAAAGGAAAACAAACAGGCTAAAAAATCTTTTTCGTTCTTCTTTTCTAGGATGTGGAAATGTCGTTTTCAAAATTTGCACGTTCATACCTTTTATTGCATCGTGTGCCAAGTCTTGTGAATGGACAATTATTAAGCATTCTATGAACGTAAATCTAATGGTGAAAAACGATTCATGTAGAGACCTTGATTTCTAACATTTAACACCATGTTTGATACTCATTATTTTAAAATATATTTTTCTCTTTTTTTTCTTCAACCACACATTTTTCAATAAAATAATATTACATGCTCCAAAATATTTCCTTATTTTTTAACCACATAGTTTCCATCAAAATACTATGTAAAATGCATTCTTGGAAGAATAATGTGGCTCAAACAGGGTATAAAGAAGATTGCTACACTATTCTTTCTTTCTTTTTTTCTTTTTTTTTTTTTCCCTGGAAGAAAAGTCTAGAAATAGAATCATTAATTGTTTTTCTTATTTCCTTGTTGCTTTGACATGACAATTGCTACTAAAGCAGAAAACAATGGAATAATTCCATTGTTGTTTAAAAAGTCATTTTTTCTTAAATTCTGCTTGCAATTCTGCGAAAGATTGCTTAATGCATTTCAATTTTATATTGAATTGCTGATGTGAATCAGATGCACATTCTTGGTAGTGGAATACTGTCATTTCTGATTACCCTAATTGCTAAAAATGCATTTATTAAATACACATGGAAAAGGAATTTTTTTGTTATTTATTATTTTTATTCATAGATACTTCAATTATGTCACTGGACCTACATTTTGTTTTGAGTGATCTTAAACCTGGAAAAAGGAATCGAGTTGTAGTTTAGTGTAAAACTTCATGTCTAATATTTGAAACCTTTTGAAGATTTTGGTTGGGAGGCTCCTGATGCGGTTTAACTATGATAAACCTTCAAACGAAGTGGCATATGGGCACCTAAATGTGCCGCGCAAGGTTCGACTGGTCAAGTTAGATAAAGAAAGTTTAGAATAACTGAATTAAGATAGAAACTTGGAATATATAGAAGACTTGTAGAGCATAAATGAGGTACCAATAATCATTGATACAAGTTTAGTGGACGAGGTGATAGAAGTTAGAGCATTATGAGCAGGGGTGGGCATGGGTTGGGTTGGGTTGGGTTGGTTTTTGCTCCAATCCAAACCCAACCCAACATTGTCTGTTTGTTCGAAATCCAATCCAACCGAACCTATGTAAATGTTGAAACCCAATCCAATTATGTATCGGTCGGGTTAGGTTGAGTTGGTCGGTTTGTATCGATAATTTCTATTAATAAACGGGGTGGGAATAAAAATCAACACTCCAACGAAATGGTATAATTTGGGGTGGCAAATTTTGGTTTTCATTTTTTACACCAGAAAATTTAAGCAACCTTGCTACATGACGTCCCATGTGAATCGTTTACCAGTAACTATTCAATACCCCCACGAAAAATTGATCACATCGGAACGTTTCCGAGGACGAATCCACTTTGAATTTGATAAATGCATTGCTTGTGAAGTATGTGTTCGTGTATGTCCTATAGATTTACCCGTTGTTGATTGGAAATTGGAAACGGATATTCGAAAGAAACGATTACTTAATTACAGTATTGATTTTGGAATCTTTATATTTTGTGGTAATTGTGTTGAGTATTGTCCAACAAATCTTTTTTGACAGAACATCACATGGCATTCACATTATGTCATTGGCCAATTTAATATAAAAAAAAAAAAGTTTTTTGCACCAATCTCTTGTTGCCACACCTTCATCCATCATCCAAGATGTCAAATTTATCTGGCAAAGTGGCACTACTAAAATTAAAGGGTTCTCTCAGACTGTTGCTTAGGGAAAATATATAAACAGAAATTCAGTGAGGCCTTGATGTGTGAGAGGATGATGCTAAAGGCTTCTGTTTTTTTACAGTTCTGTTCTGTTCTCTTAAAAGATTACAGAGAGACAGACAGAGTGGGGGTGGTGTGAAAATGCCCCCACTTTGAGGCATTCTAATCCTTTGCTGTGAGAAAGGGATACAAATTAAATGGTTGCAATTGTTGCATGTAATAATTGTGGCACTATTTTTCAGATTGTTCCCTTTCTTCCATCTGCCGGTTCTTCTTACACCCAATCTACTGTCACTCCCATTAACCATACTAGTGGTCCTTTTATGTACTTTTCTAACACGGGATTAGATAATTTTTCTGTCGAATGCTATTTAATTCGGTAGTTATTCTATATCCACTCTCCCAACAGCAATAAACTCTATGGAGATGAACATTTCTACTCGTACAAATATAAGATGGTAAAAAGATTCACTATATTTGGCAATTTTGGCCACACTAGACTCCCCACCTCCTTTTATAGTTCGTCCACTTATCCACTTTAGTTTAGCCGAAATACGGAAAGAAGCAAAAAACGTATAATTCAGTTACAGACTTTGTTTGTGTGGGGTGACGATTTGAATCATCTTAAATAAAGACACCATGCCCCAAAAAGCGAAGGTGACTAAGAGACCCAAGTGAATTCTACTTTGATAGGAGAGCAGACTTGTGAGGAGATTATAATACGAATGGTGAACTGGAACCTCATCCTTCAAAGGTTTGGTCTATATTTGTCCTATTTACAAGGACCCTGACCTTGTCTCTGGGAAAACAGAAAGACTAAGCGCTAGCCAAGCCTACAGGATCTTATAAAATTACACCTATGTAGCGACTCGCATTCAACAACTAAGAGTTTTCCTTCTTCCTTATTTGGAATTACATTCTTATTCATTTCTCACCCTAGCCGCCCTTTCAACAATTTCCTTTCGAGGTTGATGGAACTAAAGGCTTTGAATTACAGAATTACAACAATATGTACAATAAACTGAGGATGTTTTTCAAATCAAAGAAACTAAGTCCTTGGAAAAAAAATTCTGAATGCTTAAACCAGGTAATGTGTCAACCTCAAAACAGCATTTCCCTTCATTGTCACAATTTAGGCTTTTTTCATAGACCCACAAAGCCAACGCATGCGCTAACAATAAATTTTGGTTTTTTGGTTAGAAGGTGAAATTAAGGCCTTGACAGTTGTATTGAAAGAAACCTTTAGACAATGACTTGTAGAAATCAGTTTATAAGCTCATTGGATACTCTCTTTTCACGGGTCGATTTCAAAAGTGGGTTACATCCAAGTCCCTATCACTAAGCTTCCGCGAAGAATGAGAATTCAGTCCACAGTTTATGCACATATCCTTCTAACGAAAACAAGAGCCAAATTCATACGGGTCCACAAAAATGATTCCCACATAAACTTGTAACTCTCAATATGGGCAAGTAGCTAACCAGTGTTTGGCCGTAAACATGAGGTCTAGACAACTTAAGTCATGCTCAGGTTGTGGTTCGTCACATGGCTGGCTTTTGAGGGAGTATAAGTAACATGGCATGGACAATCTAATGTGTGTGTGGCCGCTCGAGTATAGAGCCAATATATTTCCATTGTCACACTATATTGTGTGTGCACGCGCCCCGTTCATATATAGAGTTAGATGTCATATCAATTCAATGCCAAATTTTAGATTGCTTGTCAATCCATTTATTCCTCCCCACTTGCCAATACAAACATAATCTTTTTATTCCTGTATTTTGAGGGCAGATATCAAAACCTAAAATGGAAAAAAGTTTTAAAATATTATCCAATAAGCTTAGAACAAGAGTCCTGATTAAATTAAACCAAAAATCCCACCATAATCACATGCGAAAAGTAGGCACTTAACCAAGTTTTTTGGCCTTAAACATGCCGCCTGCTGGTGGGTGACAAAAAAACAAAAAAGTTAAAACTACCAATCAGTAATCAAGAAATCTTTCCATTAACTGTATTCATCAAGATAAGTAACTTCATGCATTTTAGATTTTTTTTTTTTTTTTTTTTTGGTAACCCACTAAAAATTCAATCTGTCATCTAAGTTTCCCACACCCAAATAGGCATATAAAGCTGACATGTATGCATGTATGAAAATGGATCCGACTATTCAGGTTTTATTCCACTCCATCCAACCAACATGCAACGGACGTATAAAGATTAAATTTAAATTAATAAATTTGTTTAATATTTATAAACTTAAACTTTTAAATGAGGTGCACTCTCTTTCAAAAACTAGTAGCCGCTTTTTTCGGCATTCCTCTTTCTTTGAGTGTTGACACGTTTGTTGGAAGCAAAAGTGTATCCCAATCCTTCCATGTTATATATACTCTCTTTTCTTGCATGCCTTTGGCTCATCACATTAACGAGTTCCAAAAAGAACACAACAAAAACTACACAAAATCCAGACATAAACTTTCCTTTTTTTCACTTACTATTGACATTACAAAACTTGCAACAAAGCAAGCCTAACTATGTGCAANTAACATTACAAAACTTCAACAAAGCAAGCCTAACTATGTGCAATTCAGATCCTTCTTCTCCATCCTCATTTGTCTCTACTAAAAAAACCCATTTCTTAAACCCCAATAAATCTGATGATTTTTACATAGATCTTGAACAAGAACTTGTTAGATGGCCAACTACTTCTGAGGTAATTAATAGTTTCTTGAAAGTACTATTATCTTGAAAATTCACTCATTATTTGCATGGATCTTGAATTTAGGCCTTTGAAGAAATCAAGGCCATTGGAAGTATTTCTGGGCCAACAGCAATCACAGGTCTGATATTGTATTCGAGGGCTATGATTTCAATGCTTTTTCTTGGATATCTTGGGGAGCTTGAGCTTGCAGGGGGATCCCTTTCCATTGGTTTTGCAAATATAACTGGCTACTCTGTAATCTCTGGCTTGGCTATGGGTATGGAACCCATTTGCGGACAAGCTTATGGAGCGAAACAGATGAAGATTCTTGGCCTTACTTTACAAAGAACTGTGCTTCTTCTACTTTCTACCTCCATTCCCATCTCTTTCATGTGGCTTAACATGAAAAGAATACTCTTTTGGTGTGGCCTAGATGAAGAAATCTCATCAATGGCTCATACTTTCATCGTTTTCGCCATTCCAGACCTCTTTTTCCTTTCACTCCTTCATCCTTTGAGAATTTATCTAAGGACTCAAGGCATCACTTTACCATTAACCTATTGTTCAGCTATATCTGTTCTACTCCATGTACCACTGAATTTTCTTCTAGTAAGGTATTTCAATATGGGGATTGCTGGAGTTTCATTAGCAATGGCATGGACTAATCTTAATCTTTTCCTATTGCTATGCTCATTCATTTACTTTTCCGGAGTGTACAAGGACTCGTGGGTGGCTCCAAGCATCGACTGCCTCCGGGGATGGTCTTCTTTGCTGGCTTTAGCAGTTCCTACTTGTGTCTCAGTTTGCCTTGAGTGGTGGTGGTATGAATTCATGATCATGCTTTGTGGGTTCCTACCCAACCCCAAAGCAACAATTGCTTCAATGGGAATTCTAATCCAAACCACCTCTTTAGTCTATGTATTCCCCTCAGCCCTCAGCCTTGGAGTCTCCACTAGGGTTGGGAATGAGCTCGGCGCCAGAAGGCCGGCAAGAGCCCGGATATCAATGATAGTCTCTCTTACTCTCGCAGTGGCATTAGGCCTCGCCGCCATGTCGTTCACGACATTAATGAGGCATCAATGGGCTAAGTTCTTTACAAATGATCCAGAAATCCTTGAACTCACCGCGGTGGTGCTGCCGATAGCTGGCCTCTGTGAGCTTGGAAACTGCCCGCAAACCACCGGTTGTGGGGTGTTGAGAGGAAGCGCAAGGCCGAAAATCGGAGCAAACATCAACCTAGGCTCATTTTACTTGGTGGGAATGCCAGTGGCCATTTTAATGGGATTTTTTTTGAAAATGGGGTTTGCTGGGCTATGGCTAGGCTTGCTTTCAGCACAGGGATCATGTGCATTGCTCATGTTTTATGTTCTGTGCACAACAGATTGGATTGTTGAAGAAGAAAGAGCAAATAAGCTGACAACAGAATCAAATATGGAAACTAACAGCAAAATGGACAGTAATCTTGATGAGATTTTGAGCTCTAATAATGATGAGTTTGTGATGAAGACAGCTTCACTTGAAACAGACCCTCTTACAACTACACAAATTCTGCATTAATTAGAGCACCTTTCATTTCATTATTTTCTAATTTCTAACCCCCTACCCACATTCCATGAGGGGCTGCTGTAAAAATCTTGGAAATTTCTTGTCACTTTTTTTTTTCTGCTTCTTAATCGTTTGTTGGGTTGCTCTCATTTGTACCTTGATAATGTAGAAGAGAGTTTTCATCATATATATTTTCCAACTTCCTTTTCACATTTCGATAAGCTTTACAAAACTTTAAAATACTTGATAATACACGAACAACCAAATAGACTCGAATAGACCATTTAAACTCAGCTATATCAATACATCCCGTCGTGTACAAAATAACTTATGTTTTAAAATATGAACAACTTCGTCGAATTTAGCACTGATAATCTAAATATATTATGCCCCTATTTAGTTTAGTTTAAAAAAATGGACAGAAGTCTATGTTAAATTAAAAAAATTAATTTTAATAACATATTTCATGAACACAATTTTTTTGAAGCATTTAATAACACATTTCATTCACTTTCATCAAAATATACTAAAAATCTAAATTTTAATTACACCAAATTATTCTTCTTTTCTTTTTAACATGCTCTTAGTAATTAACACACTCAAGAATAGTTGTTCTTGATATTGGAGAATAGATGTGTGTGTTTGTGTGTGTGTGAGAGAGAGAGAGAGAGAGAAAGAGAAGAAAAAGTGCGTGCCTTCAACCTTTTGGTGTTGTTCCATTCCATATTAGGTCATAACATTCGCAACCCAAAATGGAAAATTAGAATAATACTAATCATCTGCTCTGTTCTGCTTCTGCCAAAAAAAACTACTTTTTAATTTTTCTCTTATATATTTTGGGCTTAAAATTTGATTTTTTTTTATTTTATTTATTCTTTTACAAAGAAAATGATCAATCTCTCTCGCTTTCCAACGCAAGCTTACTTCAAAAGATGTATAAAGTTTACAAACTCTTCTTTTTAATAAATTTATCAACTTTTTTTTTTTTTTTTTGAGTATAAATTTAAAAAATCCCATCATGAACTTAAATTGGTAAAATAACAAAAAAGAAATAAAGTCAAGTAGCATAAGATTCGAATTTTGTTTGGTAGAAGTGAATGAAAGGAACTAAGATAAATATTGAAAAGTTAGCCCGATAAACACGTACGATAACGTGTGACGACAATAAGGAGTATGCAATTAGAAATTTCGGTAAATAGCAGAGAATCCAATTATTATCACCGCATATGATAAGGGGATATATGATTAAGATTCTCATCAATCAATGAAATATACTAAAGAGACGGAGTCCCATGCGTATAATAAGAATTAATCTCATTGATCAGTCAATGAAATCTACGAAAGAGACATAGTTTCTAAGGACCTCTAAAAAGAATTAGACATTCTAAAGGTTTCATTACAAAGTAAAGGTAAATATCAATTAGGTTTTGGGAACCTTTATGCATAACCAAATTCCAAGTCATTGTTCCTTTCATTTTGGGGATAAGATATAATAATAAAAATAATAATAATCTAAAAATCTCCAAATCAAGAAAGGAGCGAAATTTCACCAATTTTTGAATAAAATGATGAAAAATATCCAAAACATTATGTAAAGATTTGTAAAATGTATTGGATTAATCTTAACTCAAGAACGTTCCCAATAAAATATTTTATCTAGTAAAATATAACTACAATTGTTCTAGATTCAATTCAAAAATAAACACAAAAATGAACTATTATACAATTTCAAAGTTAGTTAATAATAACTACTCTACACGCACAAGCGGAATTGCGAATTAGGGAGGTGTTGTCTAACCACAAAAAAATTACTTGTAAAGCTAATAATTCAATAAATCTTTTGTTGTCAAAGTTGGATAAGTGGGTATTTCTTTTAAAATATATATTCTTATAGTCAAAAGACGTTAGTTTAGTTTTTTACTTAAAAGTAAGAAAAAGTTACTTTAGACCTACTTTTAAGCTTAACCAAAAGTGAAATAAGCTATTAGGCACTATCCTTTTCCCAAAACATGAAAGGTAAGCACCACGTTGGAAAGCATATTGTACCTAAAAAAAACAATTAAAAAAAACATAACTTGAAACCTTAACATGAATAAGTTCTTACACAAGTGTTCTTGAATGGAGAGAGAGAGAGAGAGAGAGAGAGAGAGAGAGAGAGAGAGAGGGTGTATGTATATATGTGTGTGTCCGAATTCGAAACAAAGAATGCAGTGATAATTGGCAGTAGAAGAAAGGTATCTATCTGAGGGTGGGGGGGCCTCTGCTTGTAACTGAAGAAACAAAATTAAGCTATTATTGCCTCTGTCTACTTCTCAGATGACAAAAAAGTAGCAGTGCCTCTGCATAGTAGTTTCCAGCCCCCCCCCCCCCCCCACCCCACTATTCAGGCTCCATTTCATCTACAGAACCTGCAAAAAAGCAGCTACTAAGAAGATATAAAAGTTAGATCTCACTTTAAAGGAAAATAAGTTCATAGGCATCATAGGGTTAAAAATATGCCTAGTTGCTCGACTTGTAGCGAAGTTTCAATCACTCTACTAATTTTATTAGTAGTGTTTGATGTAAAAGATGACAATATGATGTAACATCAACATAGAGGTCTTCCATGTTCGTTAAAATAACAATAATAATGAATTTTAACTAAATGATTAATTGTAACTAAACTCAAATTTCAATAGAGGCTATTTTGAAACACAAGTCAATGACTAATATGAAACTTTATTATACGCTCAAAAGGCTAACAATTGTTTTTGAATTATTCACAGGCACTGTTTTTTATTTTTTTTATTTTTTTGATAAAAGACATTTCATAAAAGGCGCAAAAACGCGGTTACAAGGAGGAAAACCTCCAAACACAAACCCTCAAAAGAGAGAAAAAAGTGCCACCACGGCCAAAGGAATGACCACTAAAACAGACATGACCGAAAACAAAAAACACGACCCAAGACAAACACATCAACCGAAGTCATCACAGCTGTGACTTTACAAGAAAGGCAAGGCCCAAACTGAAAGCCACCTATGCAATCAGCAATTTAGCATCCCCGCCACGAAGCGGACTTTGTCTAGACTTCACCACCACCAAACAAACCAAACGACAAACAACATAAACAAACCAAAACACCACCTCCACCAAACAAACAAACACAACCCAAACAACAAACCAAACAAACCAGCCAACACACACCACCAATGAAATTCTGCCATGTGTGTTATCTGTGGAAAAATTATGTGTGTATACATGGTTGATTTTTTTAACATGACATCATTATTATTTCTTGTTGAGTATGATTTAAAAAATTTATTTTCCTTTTTGAATGTCTATAGATAATTACTTTCTTAAAATTACAGTTTTTGCCTTCGCCAAAATGCTACTATTTCAAGTGTGGTTAACAATAGCTTTCCTCAATGAATCAAACTAAGTTGTAAAAAACAAGTAGTGGATCCCAGATTTTTTTAAAACTATTTGTTTGGTATAAATTTTCATAGATTATAACATGTTGATCTTATGAAATGTGTGATTAAAAATTGATAAAAAATATGGATCTAATAGAAAATATGGTTAAAATGAAGTTTGATTAGCTTTATTTTTTATTTTTTTAAAAAGAAGAAAGAAACAAAACAAAAACTTTACCAAATAAGTGTTTAGTATACGGCCGTTGCATCATTTTAGAGTTTAGTATATGAATAGTAACATAATATCTCGGTAAAATAAAAAAAAAAATGACCAGTTCTGTAACCCTTGTTTACTACTTGTTTACAAAATTTACACTTAACAATATATTACACCATCTTTCACAAAAAATGCAATTAATCCAATTGCTAAAATCCTATCATATATACGTAATCCAGGGTGTATGATAGATTTATATTTGTATTGGCAATTCTGTAAACAAATTGACCAACTTGAACATTTATAAACGTTTAGGGACTAAATTGTAAAGTTTTATAGTTGGTAGGCTAACTTAGGGTTTGGGGTTTTATGTTTGGAATATGAAGGATTCACGTCGAATTTTCGCTAGCTACTCGCCAGAGTGTTGCTCGAGCGACTGAAACAGAAACTACCTCGCTCGACTTTAGCCCCACTATCGCTTGAGCGAAGAAGCCACCTCGTTCGAGCGACATATTATTCTGGAAAATTTAATTTTCTATTTTTGAGATTTTTACTTGGCCCATACAACCTATTTCGTCCAACCTATATATTGAGGCGCCATATTTTCTATAAACATGAGATTGAACATACAACTATCAAGAGAAAAAACATCCTACACAAGATCAAAGTTTAATCCTTCCACTCATATGTGCCCCTTTCATTGAAAACATCAAAACTATCAAATCAAACACTGAATTGGTCTATTTGCTTGGGTCTGCTGCAGGATTGTGTCGTCAACTGTATTGCATTAAAGATCAAGAAAGAGTTTGAAGAACGAGGAGTTCTTGGGGAAGATCTACAGGAGATAAACTGCGTAAAGAGTCAGTATTGGAGTTCGTGTGCTCATTTCAGGAGGACTGCTTTACAAAGAAGAGTCAGGATTGGTGTTGGTGTGCACATTCCAGGAGGGCTGCTTCATATTTCAGACAGGAGATCAGAAAACTTGTGTTGTTAACTTTGCTGGTAGTCTGTAAGTCTTATTAACAGTTTATAGTGGATCTTTGATTGGTAAAGTGCTAGGAGTTTTTCCCTCGTTGGGTTTCTCCGTGAACAATTATTTATAGTGGATCTTTGACTGACAAGTGCTCGAAGTGTTTCCCACGTTGGGGTTCTCCGTGTACAATTCTAGTGTTATTTATTGCTTTATTTACTACTTTAACATTACTGTGGCATTTCAAGATAGGGCAAATTGAATTGTTTCAATAATCACCTAAACATAATTAACTTGTGACTTGTTGCATGTTAATTAAGTATTAATTCCGTATTTACACCTAATCACCCCCTCTAGGTGTAGTAGGGTCGAATCTTGCCTTTTTCAATTGGTGTCAGAGCTTAATTTCGATTCCTGACCCTTATTTGATTG